AACTGTACAACACTTTCACGACAATAGTTCTCCTGTGTCTAGGTATACTTTGAGTGAAATTGTTCCTATTTGATTAATGTTTGGCTTGAATTGATGATTCAATCACAAAAGTGAGTTCAACGATTTTTCCTTGGAAAATCGCTTGTTTACAGAACTCGATTGGACTTCTACGACAATTCTGTGTTGAATGCAGTACTTTGGGACATCTTGCATTATTCCCTGCTGCATCGTACACAACATCAATATTCCACTTGTATAGGATCTTTTCCTTTTTGTGTGGATACAGATTGTCCAAAAGACTTGCGTCCGGCAGACTTGCGTCGAATCCCGACATCACGATCAAAGTCCGATCGCACGTGTTGAAAACCTTGTACTTGAATAGTTTCTTTTGGAACGTAAAAACTCATATTTCGTCATATCCCAACACATTGCATCAAAGAAGTAGGTGGCAATTTCTTTTTGTTCATCAATTCACCTGTAGATTCCAAGGTTTGTTTTGGAGTTCGTACACGAATGAGAGAGTCATTTAAAAGAAAATGTTTTTTGTCTTGCGTCATCGGACCGTTATCAGGGGTCGATGCTGTAGCAAAAGATGAAAGATTAGATTGGAGGAAAGGATTGATTAAACGGTTAGACTACAAACGAGTATTGCTTTGGAGAGAAGGTCAGTAACCTTCATAGGAATAATGCTCGGCATCATCATAAGGAAAATAGCCTGGATCATCTTGTGGAGGATACGATTCGTTTGGAGGATGCGATTCTTCAGGAGGAGGATACATTTCATTTTGTTCATACGATTGAACGAATTGGCCTTGGACGAAGTATTGATCATTTTGTTCTGGCTGATCTTCAGCATGCTGCTCTACGGCAGAAGGCATTCCGCCTTGAGGCATTCCGCCTTGGTCCTCTACCGGGACAGTTCAATCCGGAACGAAGCATCCCGCTTCTTGATTGAAATGTGATTCAGCATAATGATGATTTTGAAAACCTCTTCTCTGAGAGTTTCCTGGAGGTCTGTTGTTCGGAGCTCCATTGTTTGGAGCTTGATTTCCAAAACGACGCTGGTTTTGGTTGTTGCCACTTGGTCTTCCTTGATAGTTGTTCGTAGGTCTTGGTGGATAACGATTTCCACCATTCTGCTGTCATTGATTCTGGTAGCTAGGATAAGGCTGACTAGAGCCAAAGTCGTCGATCGCCATAGCGAGAGTTTCCATAGCAAGAGTTTACATTTGCTCGACCGCCACGATTAGAAGAACGATGATTGTGAGATCCAGTGCAAGAGAGATGATGGCTTGCACGTCCAGTTCGCTTCACGAACTCGTTCCTTTGCAGCAAGGGTGTTGTCCATGAGGATCTTAGTAGCTTGAAAGTATTGTTCCATTATTGCCACTGTGATGGAAGGATCTTCAATCGGTCCTTTTTGTTGACGAAGTAGATCTTGCCATTGCTTGGGAAAAAATTCGTAGATGATCGTCTTTTTCGCCAGTACAGAAATATCGTCAGGTTCATCCAGCTTTTGAGATGTTCCCGGAAGCATGTCGTGATAAAAACATAGAAGTTTGAGTCGCCAAATGTGTTCAGAAACATCAGTTTTCATAGTCTTTCTGACTGCCGGAGATTTGAGAAATGAGCCTGCGTTGCTCCTTGGAGATTTGCCAGCTGACATCCTGGTAATAAAAGTGATTCTTGAATTGCGCGACCGAATTACTTGGCGCGTTGTTTGATATGATTTGCCACTCATGGAGGGCATTGCCGCCAAGATGTTATTCAAAGAGAGCGAACTTGAGAGCACCAACGGCATTAGTATTGCCTGTGAGACTCCAATGTTTGCAGAGGTTCTTGAAGGAGAGAAACATTGTGCAAAAGGACTCAAGATTCTTGGTGTTGCCAAGATAAATTGGAACCTTTGCCTTTCGTTCACGATCAGCACCATCCTCACCAGGAAGGTAGAATACAATCTCATGGAGAATGTCTTTGCCTTGTTGAACGTAGGAAAATGGTGAGTTTGTCTCGAAAGAAGTCATAGTGCTGTATCTTCACTTCTTGAAGTTCAAAGAAACTGAAACAAAGTCAGATGCGTAGCAAATGATACAATTGTAGTTTACTGTAACTCTGCAGATTATATCTCTTTAGTAAAAGCCTTTGGCTATTCGAATAGTAACCCAACCTTCACAGAAGAGTCTTATTGAAAATTATAGATGACTTTAGAAAGGCACAGAAAGTGCTTACGTAAGACCTAAGGTCTAATATAGTCCCCAACCGAAGGAGCTTCTAGAGTCCCAATACCTTGGGCCTGTTCTATGGGCAAACAACATCTACTATAAATTCATATAAATCATCCTCCGTTTTTTTTCAAGATTTCGCATCCGCTGCATAGTAAAATGTATCATTGTTTGCATGATTTGTCACCAACGTATCTGCAACACAATGACAACATACCGACCATGCCATTGGAAAAACGGTGTTCCTTTGCTGACTCCAGCAGTGCCTCGAAGATGAAACATCTATTTGTTGAATCTTCTTTTGGCTTCTCCATCAACCAAAGACAATGAAACTAATCCTTCTCTCTGCCAACAACCAACTGAACAGGAACAGGATTTTCTAATCGCAGTCAGTTCAATAGAGTCACTGACCAAACCAAAAAATCAAGCTAACCAAAGTCGCAACGACTGTAATTGAAAGGTTGCACTACAGATTATTGTGCGATTCATGAAGTTTCCAGATTTCAATTATGTCAATCTTGACAGTCTAAAAACACGGATGATGTCAACACATTCAGAAAAACCTTGAAGCGGCTCTATAAACAGGGCACACCATGCTTTCCTCTCCGCAAATACTACATAACAAACAATGGTGTCAGATGTTTCAATAAGTGCTTGCGAGGAAACGAGTTTTGACTTCCATTGAACAATGAGGCTCATTTATTGACTGCACAACACGGCCGTACGTCCCTACCCAAGTCTTTCATCAGTTGTATACTAAGAACTTAAAATGTAATATTTAGGAGGTTAACCATCATTCTATAAGCTTTAAAAAGAGCGAGACATTTGGTTACTAGTATTAAAGGTTTAAAAAAATGAAGGATGATTTATATGAATTTTGTTGTTGTTTGCCCTCGGAGGCTATGGAGAGTCCTTCGCTCGTTCACGTGCGACAGACAGACATAACGGACGACACATAGACGATGACTAGAGAGTGGGTGTGTAGCGGTTCGCGCACGTGCGACGCACAGGCTACACTTCAACCTGGGAATCCTATAGGTCGAGTCACGAGTCCCGTTCCTATTAGAATTCTGTCATGCACTGCGCCATCCTCGGCGGTTTTGGAAGGAGGGGGTTGCTTGCGTTGGCTCTTGGTATTCGTGGGATCAGGATTATCCTTGGTGAGATCAATCGACGAAGGAGTGGTTGAGTTTGATCGAGCTTTGGCCGTGAGGCCATCCTGACCTTGGGCAACTCCAGATGGGAAGAGCGAGCGACCTTTCATTGTGCGACAATGAGAGCGTGGTTCAACAATGGTTGAATCAACTTTGAACAAGAAACACAATTCGATTGCTTATCATTATACCAGGTGGAACGTGGCTGCAGGAGTCGTTGACGTATCATGGATTGCAGGAATGTTGAACCTTGCTGATGCCTTCACGAAACGATTGACACTGGAAGGGAGAGGACGACTATTTGGAGAATGGACGTAGTAGACACGTTATCGAACTGGATCCCATTGTTGGAACCCAATTCGAGGGGACCAAATGAAGGCTACTGTGCTATTGCAAACGCATGCAATCGTTTGTGTCCGTAAGTGAACGGGATTGGCCTTCGCAGAAGCCCGTCAATGAAACGACGATGACCACACTCTTTTTAAGAATTCGATTTGATCTACATTACTGTCTATAATATCTACTACTTCATAAGTCAACACTCTTGTAATAATGTAACGATTACATTTATATGTAACCGTGCCGGTGTCTTTTGGTAATTATAATGTGCTTGTTTATATTTTGGACTTTCGCGAAAGGAACACACCGTTATGGATTAACTTTTGAGATCAAAACAGCTTTGAAACGAGTCACGTGTCGTGTTGGACAAATTGAATTTGTACAAAGCTGTAGAATGCATTCAGCTAAATTTTGTCCACCTTCCGATTTTTCGTCGACTGATACATGTTCACTTCGCGTATATTTTATGCCTACAGTACAGTACGGAGTGCGCGCACCGATGAAAACGAAAAAGTGGCAGCAAACGAAAAACAGTGGGAACTACCAACTGACTCTAAAGTGTATGCACATTGCAACTGGCATACTTGGCATACTTGATAACTCGGCAATTACTGTTCATCTATCATCCATTAGTTCTAACTTGAGAGGAAACAGAAGAGAAATCACAATTCAACCGAGCCTCGATTGGATTCGAATATAGAGGACATTCATCACTCGATCATACACGATCGTACACGACGTTCAAACACCCAACAAAATGGCTAATCGAAATGCGTCCTATGTATTTGGGCAGGATTCTATCTTTGATGTTCAAGACGATTGCAATGCAAATGATGGGATCGATTCCATGCTTTCCAGAGATCAGCGACGAACCACCAATCACTATTATGGCCAACCACCAAGGAGCAAAGCTGCTCCTGGCAAATACCACAACAATAATTTCTACAATCCAAACAAGTATCCCATTCTAGAGCAAAGCAATTTTCATAACCATCAAATCTCAGAAGCCGACTATTTGGATCAAATGGTGCAGTCGGTGGAACGCAGAGGCAGATACTCAACTCAGGACTATGATGAGGAAAAGCAACACTCTCAATTGAATTCATCCTACGACAATGAAGACGACGAGGAGGAAACGCAAGATGATGGCGAGTTTTACTTGGCCACTGCTAATGCTACTCGCATGATACCAGTTGATGGACAAAACAAATTGGCTACCAATAATGGACCGAACAATGTACTGGCATACATTCTGGGTGGTTTTGGATTGTGTCCACCGGATGAGCACGGCACGAAGGCGGATGCTCAAGTCTCACATTTTGAAACCAATTTTGGCAATGGAGGTGAAGTCATTGGAACCACCAACCATACTACTAGCAGTAGTGGTGGTGGTGGTGGTTTCAATATATGTGCACCCGATCCAAAGGGATTGGCAACGGACGCCCAGGTGCAAAGATTTACTGCTACCACTGAACCGGAAGAACCAGCATCCGTTCCCGGAGGAGTCGAAGTCAAACGGCCGCTTCCAAAGCCGCAAGCAAAAAAGACGACCTTGCAACAATTTCGAGAACGCAAACTCAAACTACGGCAAAAGCATCCTTTGCAAGAAGAGAAAAAGGAATCATCAGATTTGCAAGACACAGCCGCCTTTCCATTCAATACAAGGCAATTCTCGGATGCCAAGAAACAAGAACAGCAACAACAGGAACCAGAAGAACAGTTACATCATCAACTCCAATTGCAAGAAGAAGAGGAAGAACTGCTCCAACAATTGGAGGAAGAACAGCGTAAGGAACAGCTAGAAGAGGACAAGAAAATGGATGCAGTAGTGGATTCGGGTATGGATTTGTGTGCCATTCCAGGCTGCCCAACGTCATCGCCGAAGAGGCCTCCTGGTAATCTTGCTCTTCCACCCAATGCGTCAGACTTTCCAGAGGATCCATTTGAAGACAAGGAACAGAACCTGTTTGATGATGGAGAAGAACAATCCAGACTGGACCAAATTCGACAAAAGAAACGAATCATCGAGCACCAAGTTGAAACTGAGTATTCGTCACAAAATAGAGTACAAGTGGATACCATATATGCCGCTTCTTCTGGTGTGTTGCAAACTGCACCAATGAGTCTGCAAAATAAGGCGATTGTTTCGTTTTTATTGTTTTTGTTTGTGGCTGCCGCTGTTTTGGTGGCGGTATCATTCTTTTGGCCGGATCTTATGCCCAATCGAGGAAGAAGGACATGAGAGGCTAACAGCCAATGAAAGGATGGCAAAATGGAACTGGAGTTTTTCTGTTCCTTACCACGAAAACTTGGACGCCATGGTGCATTGGATCGTGGATGAGAGCACAAGAGTCATGTGTTGGAATGGCGACGACTCCTGCGGCTCGATTCAGCAAGGTTTTGCAACATGCCTCCACATACGTTGATGATGAACAGTACCAGGATCACCAACCACTTCGAATCAAAGCCTTTTTGATTGCGAAACAACATTGCCGTTTGGGGGGAGAATATATCGAATAATGTAAAGGGGTAGAGAATGGAGAATTATGTAGTTCTTTTATAGTATCGTAACTGCAAATTTGCCTGATCATGCAACAGTTCTAGGTCAAAAGTAGATTCGTTAGAGTAGTTACCGTACAGGAACGGCCGGGAAATAGAAATTTAGCATACAATTCTTGGGAGTAAATGTTGATTTTCCCGGCCGTCCCAGCATGCTATAAGAAACTCCACAAAGGATATCTTCATATTGACGGTCTCCAAAAACGATTCTCGTTTGCTTCACATGAAACCAGCGCATTGCATTTTATGGGACTTCGTTGAACAGCGCTGATCGTATTGCGGCACTACTTTCGCAACAATCAATTTCCACCGCATCATCCTGGAAACCACATGCAAAAATGCATTGTGTCTCACCTGCACTCTTTTCAATGTTGTACTTCCATCCCATCAATTGCTATTCAACACAAATATAGGAAGGGGTTGTGAACCCATCCTCCGCGGTATCGTCCTTTAGGCCGTCTACTTGTCAACAAGTTGTCAACAAGAATGTACATCAAATTCAATTTCGTGTGAGAGCTCTTACATTATGCAGGTGCAATTTTTAGTGGGTTTTCAGCCAATGAGAGTTAGTCAAATCACTAAAAATCAACCCATTTTTAGTGGGTGAACCAATCACAGCGGGCCATTCACTAAAA